ATCCTTCAGCAATTATAGGGGAAAATAGACAAGAAAAAGTGACAATCCGCTGCCTCCGAGGTGTTACGGGCTCAGAGGGGTGCCCTGGAGACAGAACATCTGAGTCTTAGAGAGGAGAAGGCCAAAAGAGATGAGTGAGGGGACCAGAGCGCCAGGAGATTTTGGCCTTCCAGGAATTTAGGGAATGTAGTTCAACGGCAAGAAAAGGCTCCATGCTGTCCACTGGTGTCTCACAGCATATAGAACACAAATGCCTTCCGGCCTCAGAGGCCCTGTGTGGGCTACCCTCTCTTCCCAGGCCTGGCTCATCTCCCCCACAGTTCCCGATGCTGCAGCCACACTGCCTCTGGTTCCTCCCCTCAGGACTGGCTGTTCCCTCCACCTGGCAAGCTTCCTCCAGCCTTCCACCTCAGCCCGGTGGCAATTTTACCTCCTCGGAGCGAATCCAGGCCCCGTCACTTCCTAATAACCCCGTGTTTTCTTAATAGTACTTATCACCATACCAAATGATCTTTTTACTTCATACCTGTCTTCTTGTTTACTTGTTTTTTTTTAATCCTCACCCGGGGATATTTTTCTATTTATCTTCAGAGTAGAAGGGAGGGAAAGAGAGGGAGAGAGAAAGAAACGATGATGTGAGAGGGACACATGGACTGATTGCCTCCCGCACAACCCTGACCAGGGGCAGGGACGAACCGCAACCAAGGTATGTGCCCTTGACCAGAATCGAACCCAAGACTCATGGGTCCGCGGGCTGATGCTCTAACTGCTGAGCCAAACCCGCCAGGGCTGTTTACTTGTTTATTGTCTGTCCCTCTCACATATGCCCACACAAAATACAATGGAGAGAGGTTACAGGCTAGCTCATGAATGAGATGCTGGGAAGTTTGGATTCTGGCCATGAGGAAATCACTATGGGTTTTAAGGGGAGACAAACATGATCAGATTTACACTTAAGTAAGTTCACTCCGGAAACAGAATCCTTAGAGGGGGTCAATGTGTAGACAGGGAAGGAGTTGAGAATAGTCACTGTGGCATAAAAATTATTTTGAGTTAAAAGGTGTTTGAGTTCCTGATCCTTTATTTGCCTACAGCAGTGCTTCCCCAAAAGAACTCAATTGTCATAAATTTCCCCAGGAACAACTCTCATCTCCAGTTGGAAGGTTAGAGGCCGAGACTGAACCAAGAAGAGAAGTCAGCACCACACCCAAACAGACAATGTCACAAAACTATGATATCTCCCACATATTATTCTCCTAGGGGTCCATTTACTGTTTCCAAAAAGCCATTTGTTTTTCCATAAATGCCTTTCACCAACCCCTTCTAAGAAGTTACTTGCTCTCCCAGAAGTGCCCCTCTGCCCTTCCCCATCCTCTATTAATATGGTATGTATGTAAGCCCCACATTCTATGCCACTTTAAGTCAAAATTATTGTGGATTGTCATGCATCAGTACATAATTAAATCTGTTTTTCTCTTGCTAATCTGTCTTTTATCAGTTTAATTTGCAGGCCCCCAGTTCAGAACCTAAGAATAGAGAAAATGTTTTTCTTCCCGACCATACAGTAGGAAGTTGTTTTAGGACTAAGAAATGAGAAATGGAAGAACTAAGGGATAGACTGTGGACATTGGGAGAAGGAATGGATTCGTTAGAAGTTCAAATCAACTCAACAGTATGCGGTGATCCATGGGACACGGGGGACAAGGGACAAAGAGGCTCTGAGCTCCCAACCTAGCAGACCAAGTGAAGAAGGGCCCATTCACCAGGACGGTACAAGGAAAGAGGCTACTGGACATCGTTCAGTCTGGGGTGCCTGTGGGCCTGTGGCTCGGGTGAGAAGAGGATCTGGGGCTTCAGAAGGGCCATAAAACTGAGGCCGCAGAAAGGTTTGAAGGGGAATTCAGGTTGCTAAGGCCATCCACACCTTGTTGGTTCTTTTTACCCGATCTCTTGGCTGAGTGTGAGGGCACATTTGAGAGGTTTTAGCCTTGACCACCAAGGAACAGTTCAAACCAACTGGCTCTTATCACGCGGCAGTTACCATTTACTGACCACCTGCAGAGCAGGCCATACATGTGTAAAAACGAGGCCTCGGGGCTTACCACAATAAACACTCAATAGGTGTTTGCTGGTTGGGATGATTGAAAGTGACTGAGCAGAATTTGAAGATAAATTAACTGAAAGCTTTAAAAAGAAACTTTATATCTGACCTTGGCCCAGACCAGCACCTGGGTATCAAGAGCATGAGCTTTCTGCCTAGGGAAAGTTTATCTACCGTGGTCAGGGGCACTCAACATACCTCACCTATTCTGCACTGGGTCCTGGCAGTACCCAAACTCCCCAAGCAGCCCAGCTTTGTAACTAGACTGCTGGAGATCCCAGGGGCACTCATCCCCCCAAAACAGCATTATGGAGAGGGGTTTTCTAAATCCCCATTTTCAGTCTTTAACCCCTGCAGGCGAACTGTAACTGGCAAGCTCTGTCAGAAGCCCATAGGCCTGCTAAATACAAAGGAAGGGAGAGAAAGGAGCAAGCGCCTTGATCTAGGTCTGGCTGATCTGTGGGTTGGGAATGTCACAACAAAGGAGGAGCAGGAAATCAGGAAAATGGAAATTGAAGGGCAACGTGCCCCTCCTTACACAGTTCTAACTGCGCTCAAGGGGTCTGTCTTCCCTGAGAATGAGACACCAAATGAAATTCACTTAATAAACTCTGATATATTATACAACTGAGAGCTATTATAATTAAGTTCTCCCAGAGGTGACACCTTTAAATAGGTCTAAAAACGGGAAAATAAAACAAAGATTTGATGAAAGAATAAGAATGACATGGTAGCAAATAGATGGCAAATGGGATGGTTTAAAAAATACTGGATTCGCCGTGGCCAGTTTGGCTCAGCGGTTAGAATGTCAGCCTGAGGACCCAAGAGTTCGTTTGATTCCGGTCAAGGGCACACCCCTTGGTTATTATGGTTTGTCCCCGGCCCTGGTTAGGGTCGGGTGGGAACTAGCCAGTTGATGTGTCTCTCTCACATCAATGTTTCTCTCTCTCTCCCTTCCACTCTATCTGAAAATAAATGGAAAAATATCCTCAAGTGAGGATTAAAAAAAAAAAGTACTGGGTTAGTGCCAGACTGGAGTTCAACTCCCAGCTCTGTCATTTACCAGCTATGTGACCCTCTACACATCCCCTAGCCCATAAATCATTATTTATTCATCTATCAGTGTCTATCCAAGTGTGTACACACATACATGCGTGCACACCCACAAGCACATTCAAACACACATGCACGCGTGCACGCGCGTGCACACACACCTTTTTTCCCCCAGCCCAAGCCCAGGTAAGGAGAGGGTCTTTTGTGGAATGTGTTACAGTAAAAGGCTCACTTAGCCTTAAGGGAAAGTTAAATTTTTTTCCCTATTAATATTCTGTGGGGTCAAACAAAGACTTAAGGTTCTATTTATTTATGGCTTTAGGAAGAGGCCTCCATTCTATCTGCAACATTATCTGTGGGCCTTTACATTTCTGATCAATGGAACCACTTATACCTTCAAGACCCAGGAGTTCAGTAAGAAATTCCATACATAGTGGAAATTAAATACATGCATAATAATAGTACCATTAACAAGAAACTACAAAGTCAGGAAGATTCACTTTCCATTTGATTAACTATTTAGTAAGGCGAATTGAATGCAAATAAAGCATATTCTCAAAGGTATAAAGGTGATTTTGCTTATTTTTATTTGTATGGGAAGACCAAACCTTTCTCTACGTAACCCTCTCACGGGCAGGAAACTAAAGAACATGATCCCATCTGCGAATATCTCCTTAACATATGTGTTCGATAACATTTCCAATGTATTCTGATCTACCAATATTCCCACCAGAAGGCAAGCGTTCTCGTGAACTTTTTTTTTTTTTTAACAATCGCTTTGAGAGAGATCAAGGCTGGTTTTATGTAGTCCTCTATGTTACACACTGGCGGACGGAGCTGGAGCCTTCCCCAGAGGGCCTCGAGAGGGCCTCCGGAGGCCGGCCTGTTCCCTGCACGCTTCAGGCCAAGGATAGAAAACCTATTTGTCCGAGCGTCACAGCAGAATCAGGGGAAGCCACTGAAGAAGGAAAATAAAGTGGGTGAAAAATAAAATTTTTTTAAAAAGCAAAAAAGGTAAGGAAGAATAAACGAGATAGAGAAGAAGAAAAATGAGCAGGAAACAAGTGGCTGTAGTAGGAAGTGAAATGTGTCACCAACAATAGCTATGGGTGTGGGAGACTGAATAAAGCAGAGTGAACTCTGAGAGAAACAGTCATCTGGGGACCGGAAAGGATGATCTTTCAAACTCAGAGCCATACCCCTTACCCTGAACTTGATGTTTCTGCCTCTTACTTCTATTATACTACCCTATGTCTGTTCTAATACTAAAATGGGAGAGATTGCCCTAGCGGTTTGGCTCAGTGGTTAGAGCGTTGGCCCAAGGGCTGGAGAGTCCCGGGTTTGGTTCCTGCTAAGGGCACGTGCCTCGGCTGCGGTTTGTCCCCGACCCTGGTTGGGGTCGTGTGGGTGGCAACCAGTCGACCAAAGTCAACACTTTGGGTGGCAACGTGTCTCTCTCACATCGATGTTTCTCTCTCTCTCTTCCTCCCTCTCTCCCTCCCACTCTATCTGAAGATAAATGCAAAAAATATCCTCGGTGAGGATAAAAATAAATAAATAAAATGGGAGAGATTTCTGATAAGAGTAGAGAACCGAGATCTATGATACACTGAATCACTGAAACATGTTTACAAAACATCTGATATAAAAATATGCTCTCTAACTACATGTATTCAAATAAGCATTATGTCTAAAGGTGTGGCCTTACATAATTTCTGAGTATTCTGTATTTACATCTAGTCCAACTCTTATGTATCTTGGTATTTCCAGGGCCAGAAGGAAACCAAAGAGATTAGCTATGGCTAATCTTTTTGAACAAGGCAGAGTTATAAGGAAAGGGACTTACATTTTCACGAACTTGACCCTCTCTTAAATCTTGCTCAGTTCTACATCATGTTGTGGCTGCAGAAAAGTCCCCTGGCATCTCTGGCATATCAAGAGAACAATGATCTCTGCTCACTCCTCAAGGAACTGTAGAAGATGAATTCACTAATAATTTTTAAATCATTTTAAGGGGGAAAAAAAGCTGACACTAATGATTAATAGATGCAAATTACTGGATTCACAGGATTTACACCCATAGGGGAAGTACCACCTGCTGACCTTGAATGTGTCTGTGTGTGTGTGTGTGTGTGTGTGTGTGCACGCGCACGCGAGAAAGCCTCCAGAAACCACCTAAGCTGTCACTTCCTCGGATCCTAAGAGAGTACACAGGCTGCTATGGAAACAAGCCTGCACTCAGCTGGACTTCGGTGAGCAGCTGTCTTAGCCAGGCTTACCTTAACTATTGGGACTTTGGGGAAATAAACAATTTCACTTTTTTATTAAATATGGTCTTTTACTTGCTTTATTATTATAGTTTTACAAGCACAGTAATTTACTAAAGATTTAAAGTCCATGTGTCAAAAACAATTATTATTTTTGATGCAATTATTTTCAATGGCTTATTTATTGCCTCCTCTGTCTGCAGTTTTATCTGGAGCCCGGAAGTTGAAGGTGAGACAGGCTCACCTTATCTCTGATTAACTACCCTGAAAGGGGCGTTGAGAGGTGCCCAAATCTGTCCATAAGAGAACTAAAGTGCCCCAGAACACTCCTGGTATTCATGAATAAAATCTGGAGTACAAGCCAGGGAAATGCAACTTAAGTCTCACCTTAGCTGCACTACGTTTTCAAACTTAGCACAATGTGGTAAAACTTACAAGACACTCAGTTTAAAAATAAAATCAGAGGTTCCATATAAGACTATGAGAAATAAAAATCATACTGCCCACCTTCAATCCACTTTCTTTTGCACAGGATGTTAGTCATTCCTGCATCCCACCCACCAGGGTAGATTTCTGAACCTCATGGGAAAAGCCCCAGGTTTCCACTGAGTGCAGGCACCAAACCAAGTCCATTAGGAAGGTGAATAGGGAGGAACATTCACTAGAGAAATGCTTTGCTCATAGTTCAAAGTGCACCTCATCCATCTTTTCTCAGAGTAAATATGTCCTCAGCCCCATACACACATCATCCCCCTCTTTTTTTTAAGTTTGAGAGTAGGTAAATATAAATTTTACCAAAAATAACACAGGATTATAATGTAACATGTGCCCAGGGCCTATTAGAAATCGAGATGACCCTTTGGTGACATCGTAAGGTCCCAGGAATGGAAGTCAGAACTCCCATCCTCTTCCTTCATTCCAACTCCCGGGGACCATATCAGCTGGCATGACTGTTGTCAGGGACAGTCTTTGCTAGAACTGCTGACCAAGGAGTCTATCTGCTACTCTAGAAAGCTAATGTTCTCACAGATTATGCATTCAGGCCCAAAGTCCCAAATCAGAGCCAGGAACACGTGGAAAGAACAGGAGCCTGAGATAATGGAGAAAGTCTTCTGAGAACAGACCACCTACCCACAGCAGGCCCAAGTAGAGAAAGGCCTGGCTTCAGTAATGTTTGAGGGAGCAAATTTTCATTTGTGGGTCCTCTTCCACATAAATTGAGTACAATGCTTTTATTTGTAGCAAGATTCCAAGTTGATCCAATAATTTACAAGGATTTTATCAGTGAAGTAATCAAAAGGATCAGTTCTGGGAAGGTTTGCCTTTAGGTTAGGAGTGGTGGGAAGCACCCAAGACCAGGCTCTGGGGAAGCCCTTTGTTCAGGAAACCCCACCCCTGAGGCAAAGCTTTACTTTCACTTCAATTTCAAGTCCCCATATCAATTTTAAAAGTGCCCCCTTAAAGAGCTGCAGAAAAAACAGGTCCTGTGCTTTTCCCGAAATCTCTCTGGCCCCCCAAGACAATGTCAAATTACAGGACTGTTCTTCCCAGACATGGTCTCTTTATTTTCCTTTTTTTTCTTTAGAGTACCACAAATACACCCTATTGTGTGTCTACCACTTCAAATACCTTGCAAATACTACCCCATTCTGAAAGTCTCAAGTCTCCCAAGAATCCACGAGGAGCCAACGAATGCAATTTGAATAATAATGAAGTGACTGAACAATTTAATTACCAAAGGTAGCCCTAGGGACACCAACAAAAGGGTTGAACGCCTTTATCTACAAAAATGTAACCACGTGCTCAACTGTGGGACCAATTATGGAGAGTGCAGAAGAGAAAGAGTGCACAGGTGCACACACCAGTTAAAGCAAATGGGGAATTAGCACAAATCCTCCCTGGAGACAGGCCACGATGAAAAAGGGTGACTTGGAAAGCTCTCTCATCTATCAGGCTCAAGGTTTAGTTAACTTTTTTCCCTTTCTGATTCATTGAATGTAGCACCTACCATATGCAAAATAATGAAACTGTTCCCTGGAGAAAGGCTTTGGAAAGGGAATTTAAAATAAGTTCAATGAATTTCAATAAAAGTTCTTCCAAATCAAGTCACAAAGGTACTTTTATCCCTTACACAATCTCTTTAAAGTGAAAATGTTTCAAGTTAGTTCCTTCTTTGGATGCACACAGCTTCACCTTGATGTTATGTTTAACAGCTTCCTTCCAGTGACCTTTTCAAGTGACCTCACAATAAAGGACTTCTCCCTTGCTTTGGAGGAAAACAAAAACGATGAACCTTTCTGGAAGCCTCAAAAGCTCTCAACTTCCTTAGGCCTTAAGAATTAAATGCAGGAAAGCCCCCCACAGGCTGAACAATTGCTAAATCCTGCTTCTTGAAGAGTAAACAGAGTTTACTTCTGAGTGGCAATGTATTCCCCTACCACGCGCTCACTCCAGGGCAGGCAGAGTCATGCCCAGGTGATGACACTGAGCGCAGATAAGGTGTCCTAACAACCGTGTTTGCTTGGATCCCGAGAAACCCTCGGCCACTTGACAACTACCATATCACCTGGGTGCATCTCCCCACCTCTCGAAGGGTGCCCCTAAGCTCAGACCTGGGCGTCCCCAGGACCCCTCCCGCGACCACGCGGGGCAAGACTGACATCCACAGCTGCTGACGACCCTGCCAGTCACGCTGCCGCCGGCTGCCTTTTTTAGCTATGACATCTGACCCCAGCTTCAACAGCAGCATTCAGGAAGAGGTCCCAGGGCGAGCCGGGCGGTCCCCTTCCCTCCCCAACCCCCAGATCCTGCCAAGAGCTCAGTTGAGAGGTGGTGGTGGTGGGGGGGGGGTACCCGCTCTGGAACCGGCCAGGGAGCGCACGTTTCTCCAGCCCAGACTCTTCCTCTCTCTGCTCTCCCCACTGATCCCGCTCCCCGCCATCGCTGCCTGCACCCGGGCTCCCCCATTTTGCAGCTTGCGGTTGCTCCTCTGGCGCCCTCCCCACCCCCACCCCGCAACTCCGTTCTCCTGGATCCCCTCCAAGTCCGCGGCCCGCGCGCGGCTGGCCGGGGGCGGGAAGACACAGGCGGGACAGGGTGCCGGCTGAGGACGCGCGGGGTTGGGGGACGGGCTGGGGACCCCGCGCTCACCTCCCTCCTCCGCCCCGCTGTCCGGATCCGCGTCCGAGGAGTCGGGCCCGTCCCCGTAGTCCGCTAGTCCCACCAGCTCATCCTCCTCGTCGTCGTCCTCGTCCTCCAGCTGCGGATTCCCCAGCACCTGGCTCATTGCGCCCACCAGCCGTCCGTCTCCGGGGGTGGCGAGTTCCGGGTTAGGGGCTAAGCCTCCTCTCTTGCAGCTCGTAATCTATCTGAATTGGGGTTTTGTCTGGAGCGTGGCGGGAGCCGACGGAGGCGGGGGCTGCGAGTCCCCCCAGCGGGCGGCGTCCTGGTCTGGGTCGCGCGGTTCTCAGCGCTGCCGGAGCCCCCTCGCTGCCCCTCCCGCCTGCGGGCGGAGGACTCAACCGGAGCGCGGCAGTTCCTCCCCGAGGAGGGAGAGAGAGACTGCGTGACCCAAGTCACCTGACACACACTGTCACACACTCACACACACACACATACACACACACCCCGCACGGGCGCGCGCGCGCTCTCCGGGCGCAGGCACCGCTCAGCGGGCTCCGGGCTGAGGACGCGCACACATTTAATGGGGGGTGGGGGTGGGAAACAGGGCGGCGCGGGCCCTCCGCCCACCCAGAAATGCACTCGGACACGCGCCGGGTACCCCCGGCCCTGGGCCTGGGTGCAGGCACCCACCACGGCTGCGCGCCAGGAGCCCCCCACGCCACTTCTGCACGTGGTTCCCACACTGGCAGGCGAGCTGGGGGCCTGTTCACCCTGAGAACCTTTCCTCCACCCACCTCCGACACACACATCCTACCTTGGGCAGCTATCTCCAGCTTTTAGTTCTTGGAGAGGGCTCCAGTCCCAAGTGGGTTGCCCCCCTAACACTGCTGTGCCTGGGCTCCCACCCATAGCAGCGTTCCTAGGACACCCAGTGGATGCTGAAGAGCCCCAAGAAGAAAACTCAGAGAAATGCACGGCAGAGGCGCAGTCTCCATAGCAATTGCCTTTTAGTGTGCCTTTATGGTTCAAAGTGCTTCCCACCAAGAATATGAAAAAAATCAGGCCTACCCAGATGTAAATATTACTGAAAAAATAATACGCCTCTTGGCTGCCTATGCTGAATAATTTTTCAACAGTGTTTTGTAAAAACCTCAGGTATGTAACACACTTGACGGCTATCCATGGTCATCTTGTCCTGTCTCATTGCATAGACTGTAATCCCAAACATCTCAAAATTAAATGTTTCAAAGCTTTTGTGTGGGGTTGGGGAGATAGTGTTTCGTGAAGGGGGACAATTCTCACATAGCAATAGCAACAATGTGGGGGGTAAAACTAAAACCTGCATTCCTCCAAGAGCTTTTCATCACAGGACACAGTGTACCCACCCTTTCTGGATATTGCAAAAACTCACGTGGATGAACTTCCTCTGTCAAGAACAATAAGAAATAAACCAGCTGGCCAGCATGCTGATACAG